TTAAATAAACTTTTCTTTATTAATTCTCTTTCTCCTCAAACTTTTCAAGAATTAGAATAAGAACAACAAACCCTAATTCAATTTCAATTTGATCAAAATATTTCTTTTCAAATATCAAGAACAGGTAGGTATATTACCCTACATTATTTCTATTTTTTTTAAAGAAATTTATATATGTTTTCCTGAATTTCTTGAATCCCACGTAACCTACTTTCATTTCATTTCTACAATAGGGTTTCAGTTAGGGTCATGATGTCAACCCGAAATCGGCGTTTGTCTACATCGTCGACATCATCAACGGCGAAGAGGCCGTCGATCACCGGGAATCACAGCAAGAAGATGGGTGCTGTGAAGACGCAGTTTATTAAGAAGAGAGCAGCTCTTAGCGACATAACCAACCAAGGAAATGGGTATCCAAACGGGTCACGGGTCGTTGTTATTCGCTCAAAACCCATGGTTCGTAATTCTTTTACCATTGTTTTTATGTTTTCTTACCTAATTAATTTCTTAGGATAAAAAAATGCGCGTTTAATTTGTTTTTAATTTTTCTTTGTTACTTTCTTTTCTGAATTTTATGGTGTCAAAGATTATTCTTGGTCAAGTTTGTACGTATGGATGATGCCTTGCAAAATTATGAGAAGAACTTTTCCGTTGCAGTTGTAACTTTTGGTTTGATTAATTACTTCTCTCTGTCTAACCATTAAAAGAAATAACATAATATGTTCTTAGGTCTTCAACTGTAAAAGTTAATCGGATTCAGGAATGAGTTGTTGGATGTTGGTATGTGTTTGCCAGGCTCATTCAGGACTTTCTATGTTTTTCCTTTAGTTTGAAGGGTCAAGCCCCATAGCTGCATCCACTTTGAGGTGTCGAGTATGTGTTGTACGTTACAAAAAAAATGAAGAGTCAGGTTTTGAATAATGTGTTCTTAGAACAGCATGTCTTAATATACCAAGTCCATTTTGACTTTCACAGTTTTCTGCTTCTAGTTGGGTGAAGTTTGATGCGTGATTGATCCGTAGGAGTGCAGATATGCATGCACAAATATACACACACTTTTAACTGCTGTATTTATCATTTTAGCAATTCCATTTTTATTGTATCATAGAGCTTAAAGTGATTGATGGTAAATATTTTATAACTTGAATTTATTTAATAACAAACTTTTTTGTCAAAATGTGACCTTATCTCCAGAACTCAAATCTAATTTCTGCAAACAGAGGTTAATTAATTTTGTTTTTGAAGGCGCCGTGTACCTCCAAACTTGCCAAGAAGAAGGAAACTTCTACTTGCACTCAGGATCCTGGTCTATCTAGGCCTACAACTCTGAGTCCAGAATCATGTGCTGATGTTTCTTGTATGGATACAATTTGGACGAGAGGAGATGATCAACCTACCCCTAAAGTTTCGGGTCTTCTTTCTCCAAGCAGCATGTGTACGCCTGGAAGCATGGATATCTCTCCAGATAGATCACTTTCCGGTTCAGTCTCTCTAGACGAGACCATGTCTACTTGTGATTCTTTGAAAAGCCCAGAGTTTGAATATTTGGAGAATGAGGATGTTTCAGCAGTTAACTGGATTGAGAGGAAGGCAAACTACAATCTGTGCATATCAAAGTACATGCAGAGAGAAGGTTCTTTTCTTCTAGTAGATATGAACTTGCTTCATACTGTCATTTCTGTTGGCCTAGGTTTTAATTCTTTTAACTGTCAACTAAAATTTCCATACCTGGTATGAATAGGTTAGTTTAGGCCAAAATATTTTAATCATATAATTGTATTAGTTTGTTGGCCTTCCTCAATTTTGTTTTGGTACAGCAACCTCAGGGAAGATTTGCAAGAGAAATATACTTTCGGATATGGGACCAAATGGTAATGCTGTTGCTGTTGATAACGCTTCCAAAGATCCACAGTTCTGCACACTGATTGCTCAAGACATTTACAAGAATGCACGGGCATCTGAGGTATAATATCTTTTCTATTCTGCCATTTACAAGCTGTTTGCTTCATAGCTAGTCCGATTCCTAAGTAGTGTCACTTCAAAGAAGTGCAAATACATCATTACATTAACTTTATTAGTATTTATAGAAAATGATTTACATAGGTATTGCTTGGTTATGTTTCTGATCTTATTTTAGATGTTTATTTTCTTCCTAATTTGAATTTACTTGTAGTTATACATGTACTGTTGATACTGGCAAGTGGTAACAGTCTCATTTATTTGTGGTTAATCGTTGTCTACAAGTTGAAATAGGTTTTACATTTCAGCTGTTCTGATAATTTATGAAATTTATAAACTGAAAGCTGCAATAAAAAATTATAGAATTTCAAGTTAATCATAATAGTTTGTGGTGTGTGCACCGGTATTTGTGGAACTGTGGATTGTTATCTTCGTTCTTTTTTATTATTTCTTTAAATCAAATATGCATATTTTGGTAGCCTATCGAAGTTTTGGTTATTAATTTATGGTCTTATAGTGGGATATTTATCAATTGGGTTATGGCATAGGTTGTTGTTGCTAGTCCTTATGTTCTTTTTTAGAGATGTTTGGGTATGATAATTTTTTTCTGCCTTAGATAACTTTTTACTTCTGTGTTATATTTTTACGTCTAGCTTGAAAACTATGACTAGCCCAGTGAGGTAATTTGTTATCTTAGGACATTGTAGGACACTGTTCAATGCAAATAGAAATGCTATTAATTGATAAAGAAAAAAGGAAAAGAAATGCTAGTAAAAAAATGAGATAGAAATGTAGCACAGGTTGTTAATTTGAGGCATGAAGCTTTTATCATACCTGCTTCTTGGTTAACCTTTTCAGGTCTAAGATGTGCTAACAGCATTGGTTCTTATCTGTAATACATTCTCTTGCTATGCTGCTGAACCTGATATTGTCTATATAGAAACAGCATGCATTTGCATTTTCTGAATTTTGAATAACATGAATATTTTTATCTGTATATATTTGCTCTATGACTTCTGCTTCATATGTTTCATCCTATTCCTCGGCGTAGGCCAAAAAAGGGCCTTCTACAGACTTCATGGAGAAGGTACAGAAAGATATTAATGCCAGCATGCGAGCTATTCTGATCGATTGGCTAGTTGAGGTAAATTATGGTGGTTGATGTCATTGCGATGGTTGTTTACATAATCCAAGAAACAGCCCCTTTCCAGCTCTGTATTCCAGGGTTTCTTTATCTTGTAATGGCCACTTTGACTATTTAAGAGGGGTTCTTCCTTGCATTATTAGAAATACCACAGCCAATTTCATCAAACACCTCTAACTTATTTTAATGTGCAGGTTTTCCCCCCTTCATTTGAATGGTGATCTTACCTTATCATTTTAACCGTAGGTTACTGAAGAATACAGGCTTCTACCTGAGACACTATTTTTGACAGTGAATTACATTGATCGTTATCTTTCTGGCAATTCAATTAACAGGCAGCAGTTGCAGTTGCTTGGAGTTGCCTGCATGATGATTGCTTCGTAAGATTTCATGTTTCTTTCTGCATGTTTGTGTGTCTAAATGTAGCCTAGTAAGAAGAATGGGTTATAAATGAAAATGGGATTTTGATGCCAGTAAATACGAGGAGATATGTGCACCTCAAGTGAAAGAGTTCTGTTATGTTACTGATAACACATACTGCAAGGATGAGGTCAGATTATATTTAGAGATTCATTTCCAATTTTCTTCATTCATCACAACCTACATAAACATATTTTTCCCTGCTTTGATTGCTGCAGATTTTGCAAATGGAATCTGCTGTGCTAAATTACTTGAAGTTTGAAATGACAGTCCCAACGGCTAAATTTTTTCTGAGGTTCTGTTTCACTCTCTTATTCCATTCAATTTGCAGTTTATAAACGTTGCCAGATTATTGACATATTCAGGAAAAATGCCCAGGCACTTTGTTCATGCTGTTCAAATGATCAATCAGGTATCCCTCATGGACTAGCGTTTTTACATACACTTTTATGTTTTTGCTCCACTTAGTAGGTTTAGTTAACTTTATACTTGTACTAGTAGACAAG